TGTAAAAAAAAAAATAAATAAAAAACACGAAAGCACTACACCCACACCCCACCTCCTGCTAAAAAAAACAAATGATTGACATCAGTTCACGTGCTCCAGGTAAAACAATTAATTCATCTAAACAAAAAAAAAAAAGGTAATTGCTTTTATTGTTGAGGAGATGCAGCCACTGTCTACTGTAGAAGTGACTATGTTTTGTAATATAGTAAGATTATTTCTCTTTTGGGAAATGCTTTAAATATTTGTTAGGGCCACGTGAGGCAATTAATTCAGTGTATAAACTCAAAAATATTACTTGATTTGTGGATGTTTTATCGTCGTACTGTTTTTTTTTTTTTATCATTTTAAAGGTTTAAAATCTGTTTTGCCTAAATATAAATAGCTACATGTTAGTACTTTTAGGCTTTATTGCAACCTTTATATCAATGGACACTGAATTTACTTAACTAATACTTTAAATTACTTTACATGTTTTTATTAATCTGTATATACAGCATGTATAGCTCTGGGCTCTGACAGTTCTCAAAATATAATTTTATCCTATATTTCTTTAAAGGAAAATGACAGTGTAGGTTTTACAGGTGGCTATTAAATGCAGAGCTTCTCTATTAAAAAAGGAGAAAAACACCAGCAAGTTCTGAAAGAGACCAAACCTCAGCCAGGTAAGGAAAAGTAACGCAAAAGTAACCTAAAAGTAATATAATGCATTACTTCCAATAAAAGTAACTAAGTAATGCAATAAGTTACTTTTTGGGGGGAGTAACTTTCAAAATTAACTTTTCCCCAACCGGAGGAAACCCACTTGAACAGGGGAAGAAATCCCAACTGGCCCAGCCGAGACTCAAACCAGCGAATTTCCTGCTGTGAGGCAACAGTGCTAACCACTGAGCCACTGTGCTGCCCCATTTTTTAGTTTATATGACTAAAAACTACTGATAGGTACATGAAAACCCTCAAAAGCACTGGTTCTTTGCTATATCATATACATTTTCTTCTATATTTATTTTAGGAGTGCTTTTTTACCGAGCATATATACTGAACCGTACTGTCTGTAACCGTGACCTTAAACTGTACTGACCTTAACCATGACCTTAAACTGTATTGACCTTAACCGTGACCTTAAACTGTATTAAATAACTTCTTGTAATATACATATTGTAATAAGCAGTAGTTTATTTTAACTTATTTCCTTTCAATAAAGAAGTAATGGATTTATAGGTGTGTAGTTTAACTCCTTATGCATTAAATATGCGCTCCAAACTTCATTGAGACATGTTGAATTCTTCTTCCATCATTTGCAATGTTTCCAAACTGCTTTATTAGAGATTTTCTTGCCAATTTGCCAATTTAGCCACACTTGGACTGAAAATGTGCTTTATGCATTATAAAGCTTGAAGCATCAAAATCAGTACTTGGTATTGGCCTATCACCATGACGAGGAATTGGTACTCGGTATCGGCTGCAAAAATCCTGATCAGAGCATCCCTATAGGAAAAAACCCAAATATAAAACATAAAATCGAAAGGAATTAAAATATGGTCATCAAAACCTATAGTTCTACATCAGTGAAGCTATATTATCGCCATAAACATCATATTATATTAGGGCGAGTGTGGAAAAAGCAAACGAAAGCTTCTCTATCGTGTCCTGAGAAGGACCTCACTGGACGCTCGCATACATGATGAAAGCCATTTAAACGGCACGGTTTGCATTTTCAGCCTGGAATTCATAAAGAGGATAAAATGCACATAAAACGTGCAATAAGAAAGCAATGTTCCCTTGGTGTGGGCACTTTGGATGTAAACCAAGTACATATAGAGTGCCTGGATCAGCGCCAGCCATTTTATTGCTGCATCAGACCACTGCGAACCAAAAATCTAACAAGCGCACTCCCTCCCCCAAACATCCATGTCAACAATCTCTGACCCCTCTGCTCAGCATGCCCATATGTGATGGACCCGTCTTACATGAATCCACGTAAATTTGATTCTCATAAGTGCACGCTACCGGGAAAGCAAACGAGTGCTTGATAAGGGTTAAGACGGCAATAATGCGCAACAGGATTCAGATGTCTTTTTCCATGCATTACATAAGTGCCGGTAGCAATGCTGAGATCCACTTTCCATTCATCTAATCATGCTGACTTGGCATGCTGTGATTTAGACAGCTTTTGGGAGGGGAGAGCGCTCTTTTCATTTGAAGTGATAAGCGTATTTCTCATTTACTGCTATGATCTTGTGTCTACCTCGTCCGATGGCGAGTGGTCATCTAAGACGCATTTCCATTTACACCTGGAATTAACATGCATCTGAATGGGTCTCATGTGTTTGGATTACACAACGCTCTACATCACTTTTGAGGGAGCACTTCGTGAAACGTGTACTATTGAATGAACAAATCCATGTTTCAATGGTGAACTGGCTCAAAATATTTGACACGTCATTTATATTGTATTAAGCATCATCCGCTTGTGATCAGATTGATGAAGATGCATTTTAAAGGCTTTGTTCACCCAAAAATGAAAATGTACTCGTTATTTACTCACCCTCAAGTGGTTCCAAAGCTTTTTGAACATTAAAGAAGATATTTTGAAGAAAGCTGAACACAGGTAAGGACTGACATCCATAGTTAAAAAAGCAAATACTATGGAAGTCAATGGTTACAGTTTTCTTAAAAAGTGAAGTCAAACAGGTTTGGAACAAGTGAAGAGTGAGTAATTGACAGTATTTTTTAGTTTTGGGTGAACTATTCCTTTAATACCAGATGCAAACGTTCTGCAAGTACCAAAACATACATATAACAGATATGCCCACAGTGACGCAGTGAGTAGCACGTTGTCCTCACAGCAAGAAGGTCACTTGTTCGAGCCTCGACTGGGTCAGTTGCCATTTCTGTGTGGAGTTTGCATGTTCTCCAAATGGATTTCCTCCTGGGTGCTCCGGTTTCCCCCACAGTCCAAAGACATGCGCTTTAGGTGAATTGGGTAAGCTAAATTGTTCATAGTGTATGTGTGTGAATGAGTGTGCATGGATACTTCCTAGTAATAGGTTGCAGCTGGAAGGGCATCCGCTACATAAAACATATGCTGGATAAATTGGTGGTTCATTCCGCTGTGGCGACCCAGATCAATAAAAGGACTAAGGCGAGAAAAAAAATGAATGAGAAGTCTTGAGGGCAAATGCATCGAAAATCTTGATGACTCGTCTTGCACCACAGATTTTCATCCAATTGAATGCTCTACAGCTCTGGAATATCCATAATTAATCAAGACATATTTCATTACTTGCACAATTAAAAGTGCACAATTCTGATACATATTTAAAGATGTATTATTAATGTCATTTACAGCTAACTTTTCAGTTCAGTTCTAGACTATATTGTATTTCACTTTATTTATATATTTATTTATATTTCACTATATCACTTTATAAGAATTAACTCAATGCATAGACTTTTTTTATGAATGACTTTTTACAGCCTGTTTCCTCTGAGTGGTTCCACTGTCAAAAGCTACCAAAATCGAACTGTACCGAACCACTTTTTGGGTATTCTTTTGAAAGGATACCTAGCACAACAAAAGGATACCAAAAGGCAAGGTGAGCAGCTGAACGCTATTGGTTAAAAGAGATACGTCACGAGCGCGTGCACAAGCCAGGAGAATGAAAACAAAGAAAGCAAAATTTTTAAATAGACAGCTGAGACATTAGACCGCAATCATAAATACATATAATAACGAGCCATGGTCGACCCGAGCTTAAACAAACCTTGCCGTCCTCTTGAACAGCCACAAAGCCAGAGTAGAATCTACCCTGTTCCCCGTAGTTGTTTACAAGGCCGTCTAAAGCACCAGCGGTTTTACTTTCGCCAGAGAGCTCACTGCACATCTATATTTGAAATAACAAACTTCTTAGGCTGATGATAATACCATGTGCGTGATTATTAAAGTGCTTCTAAAATTTAATTTTTTAAGAAAAAAAAACAAAAGAGCAAATGATTCTTTCAGCAACCTAAAACATGAACAAACTGCCATATTTAACTATTATCATCACTTTTTGGACTATTATGAACTCAGAATGATGGATTTACTCTCTAACAATGTACTGGTGAAGATTAAAAATACAGATGATAGATTTGCACTGACTTGACTGTGCTGCGTGTTTTTGTGAACGACCCGTACAACTTTACTTTGACATTTCCTCGAGAGAGAATAATGTTGACTGAAACTTACTGTCGTACCATTGGTACCTTTTTGGCAGTTGAAATGCAAGTCTGATAAAGGTAACCCGTACAAACCCGTACCGTACCACTCAGTAGAAATGGGCCATTACACAGTAAAATAAAAACAGTACCCAGCATACATGGGAACTCCTTATCTTTTTAGTATTTTAAAAAGCATTCCAGAAAGCATCTCATGCCCAACTGGAATCTAGGCAAAAGGGTAACATGGTTATGACTATTTTTGGAATCTACGGTAATGTTTCCTATAATTCCATGTGTGTTATGTCGTAGTTTGATGAATACTATACTATAATGTGGACAAAGTGTAATAACGAAGAATTAGTAGATTCTGACAGGTAGTTTCTAGGGTGATAAGATACATCCACATATCCAACCTGAGAATTCCTGGAGCCAATAACCAACCAATAAATTAGCCAGATATGGACTTCATCTGGTATAGAATGAAAAGGAATCTTCTGGCAGCAGATGGAACTGAAAGAATGTGGCATATTTTAGGAAAAAAAAAACCCTGAATACCTCTTTTACAATGGAAAACAGCCTATTGACCATCAAACCAAGTAATCAAACACAGTTTTCTGGAAAATACAAACAGCTCATCAATTCTTCCTTCAGGTAGCAACACTCGACCAGGCCAAAGAGATTTTCCAATCCATATTTTATGAACACTAGTGGCAGGTCAATTTTTTCTCTCGCTACACACAGAGAGGGTGAATCACAGCAACTGGAAAGTGTGTCTTCACAGGTGAAATCTGGAAACTTACTTTTTGCGGTCTTCCTCCCCGAGGCTTTCCCATCTCTCTTTCGCAGCAGCTGTGACATCCTGAGGACTGGCTTTTGGGTTCTCCTGGAGGACCTGCGATCTGGTGTCTTGCTCAAACAGCGAAAAGGCAGACGAGGGCTGACGCACGGAGCGGTTGCTGATAAGCTCATAGGCTGTCAGCTTGGCCATTTTCTCCACAATCACGTTAGAGGGCTTTTTAGATGGGCTAGACTTCACGCTCTTGGCCTCGGTTCCTCCAAGGTCTTCAATTGCCTTTGGGATGTGCAGTTTGACAGGTTCTAGGTATTCCCCAGTGATTTGATTGGAGAAGGCCCTGCCCGCACTCCAGTTCTCGGCAGATATCTGGCTCTCTGGACCGCTGTCACTCTCAGACGCCTTTGGAGAGTTGGAGTTCAGATCAGCTGTAGAGTTCATTACCACATCGTCAACAGGTACTGAGCAATTAATACTGTCCAAATCACTTCTGTTGATCACCCAATCCTCCGAAATCGAAGAAGAGCTGGTGTTTGCGGTGTTGCTCAAGGAGAGCTCACCGTCCTGTTTTTCTGCATTCGAGGAAGAATCCTCGGGCAGTTCTGGGTGCTTTAAACTAATATCTGGGGAAGTCCGTTTAGGCTCATCCAATGAAGTAACATCAGAGGGATTTCCTGCAGTTTTGAGATTCTCTTCACCATTAGAGTATCCATACAAGGAGATTAGCATAGTCTCCACTGACAACAGAACTTCATCCTGGTGAAAAGTGTTAATATAGGTTCAATTAGTCCTAACACTTTTTCATTGTAGGTATAAACGTATATAATGTTCTACACTTGTTTACCTTATTCTGTAGCATCACTTCAGTTTTATCAGGTGTCAGGTTAACGTCCACAGTTGAGGCCGGTATGGTGATGTTCATCATAAAAGTGGGATATCGGCGGCTTACGGATTCACTGTTAGACTGAGCACTGGTGTAATACTGCTTGATAAGCTGCAGTGAAAATGTGCATTTAAAGTGTCTCTGTAAGTTTACAACTTCACAATAAACCTTCAATGAAATATAGTCTGGTAAAAAACAGAATTGAGTCAAGGAAAAATCAATGGAATTCAATCAAAACTTCATTAAAAAGCTCAGTAAATCTGAAAAATATCATTATATATGAAAACAAAATCAAGTAAATCTAAGATGAAATCTAAAGGTTTGAGAATATTTTTTTTTTATTAAACACTAAAGAAGATTCACTGAAGAATGCTATTTATTTTTCCAACTATAGATGTCAATGGTTACAGCGGGGCTTTTCAAAGTCCAGACGTCGAGGGTATTCAACCCAGACCCAACTGGATTTCCTTCATTGATAAATGCATCAACCATGTAAATCAATATATATATATATATATATATATATATATATATATATATATATATATATATATATATATATATATATATATATATATATATAAAGAATACGAACCGAAATAAAATTATTGGCAATATATTCATAGTTTTCCTGCGTGGATCATCTTAAATGGATCAAGATGTCGGTCTCATGGGGAAAAAAAGCTGAATGGACAGATAAGTATGCGTTTATTTTGCCACGAGCCAGCACAAAGCCATTCTGGGGTGCGTTTCCCAAACAACGACGTAACTTGCGGCTGAACTATCGTATTATGGTGCAATGTTTGGGAAAAGAATGATGTAGTGACGAGTGTTTCCCAACACCGTAGTTTCTCTGTCGCAGATCTATCATTTGAACCACGTTAGTTATACTGTAAAGCGTTCATAATGACGCTCTAAACGGGGTGGATTAATAACTAGATAACTAATAACTAATAATAGAGAAGAACCACATAATTTCTTTGAGTGAATTATATAGTTTTACACGCACACACATTTAAAAAGAAAATAAATCCTATTTTAGTTTCATTAAAAACATGCACTCGTTTTCCATATTAATTGAAATATATGTAAACGGCACATCTAGGACCTATGTTTCCTTTACAAATATTATTGAGAACATTACATATTCTATTCTAAAATATAAAATCATTTACAAAAGCTAACACGTACTGTATTCTAATCTCATATATAAATCATATAAATAAATAAATAATGAGGTGATTTCTTAAATAATGAAATTTAATATTATTTATTAGAAAATGAAAATGTGATAATAATTACTTTTATAATAATAGTGATAATAACAATGATTTTTTAAAAAGTCTATTTTTAGATTTTAACACATATAAACCACTGCAGAAATGTTCTAACCAACAGGCCCATGTCATATACAGTACAGATACTTAATAAATATCTTAATATAAATTAAAAGCATTAACGTATGCTATGTTTTTTGTTTTCACAAGCTTTGCAGACATAACATAAATTCTGCTTTTAAATAACATGTCACCTATAGCTTTCGTCATGAGCCACGGCTGTGTTCAAAATGACATTAATGTTTTCAAAGTGCACTCCGAAGGCAACGCAATTGTAAACATGAAGATCGCTAACTGAACTGTAAAAAATACTTTGAAAACAAAAGACACCTAAGAGTGATGACTTTAATGCTTTTATTAAAATAATTCCAACTTTAAATGTTAGAATTTTCTAAATGAATAGGGCATAGGGGGGATAACTAGGAATAGAACACAGCCAGGAACTATGTTTCTAACTACAGCTCCAGAGATGTAGTTGCAAGCATAGAAGTTTGCGACACAGTTTGCGAATGTCTGTTGGAACGATGGATTTAGGAAATGCCAAATCAACAAACTAAGTTTGTAGCGACAGAACTTGCAACCTTAATTGGCTAACGGTGGTTTTCAGAAACGCAGCCCTGCTTGATTTGTAATGAGACAATTAAAGTTGTAAAGAGTAAAAAATGAAATGCCACTATGAAACAAAACAGACAATTTGAATGGCAGTATCCACAAAATACAGACATAAGGACCGCAAAACTCCACCATAAAAATTTTTATTACACATCTTTTGTATTTTTTACCTTTTTAGGTGAGATGTCTGGATGCAGACCTGGTGCAGTTGCAATCTGAGCTGCTTGCAATGCGTTTTAATGCCCACACTTAACCCTACCCCTCACAGTGACGTCCATTGAGTGCATTGTGACTGACATCACATCTCTGAGATATGCAATCCCAGCTGGCAGCATAATTGCTGCATCCAGATACTATTGGTTTTTTGGCCTACTTTTTATTGTGTTCTGTACAAAAATGCACTTATATTAGTGGTTTTGCCACATTTGCATTGAATTTAATGTTGTAAATGCGAAGTAAAATAAACAGTGTTGTTTTAAGTTATTTAATAACAATTGTTCCGGACCTTTACCTTAATTAAAATTCAGATTTGGACCTTTTAATGTAGACTAGGGGTATTCGATTAGTTTGTCATGGGGACCAGCATCCCAAATGAAGGGCCGGAGAGATATGACTTGCAATATGAGTGACACAAAAGCATTTAATTTTGCTCCTTAAGACACTACGTTGTATTTTTTAAACATTAAAATGTTAACATATTTTATTTTGAAACTACATAACATCAGTGCATTGTACAATAGACTTTTTTTAACAAGCATATTAAAATGTTGTATTTCAAAGCACAACAAAAGCAGTGCATTGCTTAAGTAGGCTTCTTCGACATCCAGACACATTCATATGTTATGTTTTGAACTGCAAAGCAATTATGGATGCAATGATGATAGATTTTGGCTGTATGATTATATAGTTTGTAGAATAATCATGGTTTTTACAATTATCACGTCTAATGTAAGTTTAAGCTTTATATTAGGTAAGCATTTAAATGAATTGTTGTTATTATCTGCGTTCATACATAATCATTTTAATAATTTGTACATGTCTTTTCTTTACATTGCACTGAAAGCCATGCACAACTCTCACTGCTGCAGCATGAGATGTTTTCTACGTGGTGCATCTGGAAGGCGCGTGTGCATCGCTCCGCTTGCGTGCGCATTTTGGCATATACTCTAATATTGGAAATACCGAATTCCCCCACGTAAAAGACGCAATATGTGAATGGGCCGCTGCTATGATTAATCCAGTGTGCGTGCATGTTAGCCTTGGTGTATAAGCTTGGAACTTAAACTAGCGCACAGGTGGCATAACTTTGTTTAGTTGCAGCAGTTTTGTTCGGTACAGCAGAAACGTGGCGTTGAAAAGCCTATACGATTAAGTATCCAAATGTTTTCGGCTGCTTGCTCTACTTACTCGCTTAATGTCAGGTGACTCACGCTTTGCGCAGCCTTCAACTGCAGCTCATGCTGTATTTAACAGATGCACGTCACTTCATAAGTACAGTGGCTGAACTAAATTTATTTTTGATGTCTTGGTCACACTATTTGGAGGGGTTACACATTGAGAGCCCCTGGGTAACAGGAATTCTACATTCTTCAAAATACCTTCTTATGTGCTCAACGGAAAAAAAAAACCCTCATCATTTGAACTGATTTGAAAGAAGTAAAGGTTGAGTAAAGTATGTAAATGATTTTACTTTTGGGTGAACCACCCCTTTAAAAAGCAGTATTGGGACAATTGTAAATGGCAGCTCCTTTACCTTAAGTATCTCTTTATGATGCACAGGTCGACTGTTTACAAAGATGAATGACTTATCAGTCGTAGAGGAGCTGGTGGAATTCAAATCTGAGCCCGGTTTGGGAAAGAATCCATCGATGTGGATCTGTGCAAACATAAGACACACTGATGCATGAATACAACAGCCCCAAAAAAATCACATCTATTTCCTGGTTGAAATGTGCATGAAGAAGCTGGTGAGTAATAAACTCGGTCCATGTTAAATCTAGTGTAGTTATTCTTTTATTTCCCTCCCTGCCACAAACCATACTCATTAATTGTCAGAGCACATTGAGGCTTCCGTGAACTTCCTCCAAAACAAACAAAATGACGCACTGCTGGCCTTCAGCCCACTTTGCAGTAACCAATTAAGACTTCGCTGTGCTATCAGGACCCATTTGTCATCTCCTAACTATGGAGTGGCCAAGTTTGCTAAAATGTGCAATGTTTCTCTTGGCTAAAGGCAGCAACGGCGAAGTGGCGGGATGAGAAACGGCTCCAAATTAATCAGTGATCTAGGGCTAGATTGTGATGCTAGAGCTCACAATTTGGAATTAACAAGCACAGCAGTTGGCTGGCAAGAGGACATTTTAATTGGAGTCTCTGACAAACCTGATAATCAGGGGTATTGTGACTTTCACAATCAACACTTATGTTCTGTATACTTTGCCACATTTGTCAATTACGGTGGCGTAGGTGGCCCAGTCCTTTCTGTTTTGTGCACTGAATGGAGGTTATTATTCTGGACTCTTCCAGCGCAGAAGGATCTCGGCCACAGCACAAAAACAGTCAACTGCAAACCCGCTTCAGAAAACCTGTAACCATTCCAACGCAGAACCAAAATAAAGCTCTTCTGATTGACTCTATATGCAAACAATAATGGAATAAAAAGGTTTCAAAACTTGTTAGAAAGTAAAAACAATCCCAGAGTCTATATGAAATTCTGGAAAATACATATCAGGGTTCAACGCTAAGGATTTTTTCTACTGATCCGATCGGGCCAGTGGTTCAGATTTTTACTTGCCCTGCAAAAATTTTCACTGGCCCCATCAAAAAATGGGGAAATCAATAGCTGTTTTAGCCACATATTTTAAATAATGTGTCAAAAATAAAGTCTGTAAATCTAGAATTTCAATACTTTAAAAAATTGTAAATAAAAGTGTTATGCAAACAAAAAGAGCAGTACGGAAAATGTGCAGGTATTTTATTGCGGTTTTAAATCATTTAACAAAGGGTGGCTGAATTGTCAAACTTATGGCAAACTGTGCAAAACATTGCTTATTATTATTATTATTTTTTTTGTTGTTGTTGCATTGTTCACACGTGAATGTCAGCTTCCAAGACGTTAGAAACAGACATTTTCTTTTAGCCTTAAAATTTGATGTTGCCACCATGCTGCCGTTTCTTCGCTGTACTGGTTGTTACCAGGTTATGGAAAAAAACTGCATGCTCAATCAGATAAGAGGAACCGGGAAGCAATATGGTGTTTAAGACATCACAGAGAAGGTAGCGTTTAAAGACTTAAAAGCACAAACTTAAAATGCACACAAATAGTCACAGACAAATTAAACATTAGTTATAAGGCAGCACTGTCCCAATCGGGCCAGTAATGATCCGATCTACTGTCCCAAGTGTCTCTCACGCTGGCCCTGGGCCACCGGGCAGTTCTTGTTGTTGAGCCCTTTCATATGACTCAAATCACTGTTTCAACGCTGGAATGAAGTGGATCTTCCATGTTGACATCACATGACCGCCAGATGATTACTACTGCACTAACATTATTGGCTGCTCATGTTTTAATTTAATATTTAAATAAAACCCCAATTAAACGTTAATACACAAATAAGTACACATTGAATCATTTAATACAGTGTGTATGAGCAACTCTTTTACAAACAACACGTGTGACCCGAATATAATTTTTCATTAATATGTTCTATATAGCTTCTATAGAAATCATATTTTCATTTAGAATAATAAACGATACAAATTAGGGCTGCACAATATATTGTTCTAGCATCGATATCGCTATGTGTGCATCAACAATATTCACATCGCAGGCAGTGGTGGATTTAGGCATGGGAAGTATTAGCGATCTTGCATGGGGAGATGATGCAAAAAAAAAAAGTGCCCCAGTAAAAGCTTTGAGATCAGATTTACTTTATGCAAGTGTATTCATTTAGATTGATTATCCCAGAATAAAGATGTTAGGGGCTATTCACATTTGGCATCTTTTGCACGCACAGGTTTGTTATTCTTTATACGCAACGATGCATTTGAAACAACGCTGGTGAAAACAAATTGATGCATGTGCGCAGAAAGCCATTCCCGCGCACCTCCTGATAACGGTTGTTTACTGTACATGCACGCCGATATGCGTCAACTTGCAAGTCGACAAAACTAAAGTTTATATCATATGATCAAGACGTTACTTTGAATAAGCATGGCTATGAAGTGGAAAGGATGAACAATCAGTCAGGGAGGTAACTAAGCCTTCATAACATTAATTCTTGGGCATGAGTCGGGTATAAGACAACAGATAAATCTACAAAACATATATTTTTTGTATTCTATTGAACTGTCATACTTAATACTCATGCAAAAGTATTATTATTCCAGTTGTGTCTTTACATTGTTTTCAGTTAAATTTAGGATTGATTTCTGTTATTTATTTAGAATAATAATTGCATAATAATGATAATAATAATAATATGAATAATAATAAACAAATTGTTATTGATTGTTATTGTTACTGATATAAATATATTTCAATGTATTTATAATAGTTATTTTAAATGTACAGTGCAAGTCAGAATTATTAGCCCCCTTCAAATTTTTTCTTCTTTTTTAAATATTTCCTAAATGATTAACAGAGCAAGGGAATTTTCACAGTATGTCTGATAATTTTTTCCTCTTGAAAAAGTCTTATTTGTTTTATTTCGGCTAAAATAAAAGCAGTTTTAAAAAATTTTAACACAATTTTAGGGACAAAATGATTAGCCCCTTTAAGCTATATTTTTTCTCGATAATCTACAGAACAAACCATCAATATACAAGAACTTGCCTAATTACCCTAACCTGCCTAGTTAACCTAATTAACCTAGTTAAGCCTTTAAATGTCACTTTAAGCTGTATAGAAGTGTCTTAAAAATATCTAGTCAAATATTATTTACTGTCATCATGGCAAAGATAAAATAAATCAGTCATTAGAGATGACTTATATAAACTATTATGTTTAGAAATGTGTTGAAAAAATCTTCTCTCCATTAAACAGAAATTGGGGAAAAAATAAACAAGCGGTCTAATAAATCAAGGGGGCTAATAATTCTGACTACAACTGTATATATTTAAAATATATATTTAAATATTTAAAATATATATAAAGTCAACCCCATAGTGTCTTTATTTCTTGGGGGATGGGGAGGGGGTATGTTTGGGGGAGGTTTCACCCAGGGTGCCATTTAAACTAGAACCGCCACTGAGCTCTCTGCAATGTTAAATGAGGATTAGAGTTGAACAGATTCACATACACAGTCACTGTATAGTTTCTAATTATATTAACCATAACAGTGTAAGAGAGTTAAGTTGTTTACGTGATTTTGAGGCATGTGACTGTATGAAGATTTTAAAATAATTCAAGCATAAAAAATTGTACTTTAACTTCATTGAATTATTTATACCATAAAGATTATGCAACATTAATTTACAGTTGATTATTCTTAAAAGCTGTTTATTTCATATCTTTTGCTCTATTTTATTTACCTATGCTGATAGGCAGTTTTTATTACATTCCTCGCTTTACAAAATCACCCCAATCAATATAAAATTATGATTTTTTGTAAATAGATATTCAAGTCATCTGAAGAAATTTTATTCACATTGCAATATACATCGCAGAAAATATAGATTTTCAATATCATGCATCCCTAACACAAATATATTAGCAACTACGTTTTCGCACACACTCAAGCTCAGAAGATCTCCTGTTCTAGGCTTTGATGGGCTATATTCACAGCTATAATGATGAACTTTCGGTGAGAGCTTTATATGACTATTTTAGATTCCTTTTTACATCATCAGCGTTGTAACTCAAATATATTCAGTTAAATGGACTTAAGCATTTATTTAGTTGTTAAAAAAAGAGACGAAAGACTGTTTAAACGCAGGTGCTGTCATTAGCCGCAGGCCAGCGCAGAAACTCTATTGAAAATACTGTAGTAAAATAATTTCCATATTTTAAAGACATGGTGCAGAAAAATATAATTTAATGCTGTGTTTCTTGTTTGGTCTGAGACCCACTTTATATTGCATCTCAGCCAGGCAGTGAAGATCGCTGGTTTTTAAAGAAATCAGATCTTAAACGCTGTGATTTTGTATGGGATGATAATTAACCAGAAGCCCTGGTGCTGAGTGACTGAAATTAAAAGTCTTTGTGCATACACCCCATTGCTCACTTGTTGATTCCCTGAAATTTCAATTTACTGAACTGAATTCTGACCATATCATGAAACAATACCATTTCCCCTCAGTAAAATAATGGCACATGTTTAATAAATACGTAATATAATGTTCATGCTTCAAAACAAAACTAAACATTGTCTAGATCCATTTACTGTGAATCGAGCCCAGCATTTATCATGATAATTACTGATATCGATGGATCAGAAAAATGTTATTGTGATTTTTAGCCATACTCCTCAACCCTAGATCTTAGGCACACATGAATCGTTCAGCCAACAGGTTACCTGAAAATAATTATCTGAATTAGGCACAGCTATCCAATCCTGAGTGATTGCATGACAATTCATGAAATGAAGTGGAGTAAAAAGAGTATAATATTATGCTATAGGTAATAATCAAGTAAACGTTTCCCAAATAAAAAAAATAGATTATAGAAAAAATGCAAGTATAATTACTTTGAAACACTCCATTATTTGTCTCCAATGTTGTATAAAACTGACACTGCAGTATTTTGTTTTTCTGTGATATATAGAGCAGGTAAAATAAGTATTGAACATGTAGTCCCACTTTATATTAAGTGACCTTAACTAATATGTACTTACATAGGAATTAATAGTTTGTTACAATGTACTTTTTGTGTAAATA